GCCCCGTGCCCGCCTCGCGCGCGCGCGCACGCGCCTGGGCGCGGCCGTTGGGAGCCGTTGAGGCCGTTGGGAGCCGCGCGCGGCCCCGCTCCCGGGGCCGATCCCGCTCCCGATCGGCCTCCTGCGCCTTCCTCAGAGCGCGGGCCGCCCTCTGCCGCCGCTCGGCTCGGCTCGGTAATGCCGGAGCGGGGGGTGTGTCTGTGCGCGCGCGTGGGCTCGGCAGGTGTGAGGGACAGTCCACGCCCCCCCACCCCCCATTTTCTTTTTATTAATTCACCTTTCCCGGGCTGGTGCCTGTGGTCTGGGAGCTGTTCCTGTCACCACAGCCTTGCCGTGGTGGCAGCAAGCAGCCTGGAGGAGAAAAATACCACAGAAAGCCGTGTTTGAGCCATCTCGTCGCAGCGAGAGCTGCGGGCGCTGGTGCAGACGCTGCTCGGCAGCGCTCAGGCCTCCCCTCGTGGCTCCGCAGCCAGCCGTGGCCTCTGCTTCCCAGCAGGGAGCCGTGGAGCCGAGGATGGCACGTGCTGGTCCCCAGGGCAGGGCTGGCAATTGCAGTTCCTCTTGTTACGAAACCCAGCGTGTGTTTTATGGCCCTGCTTTCATGCGCAGATCATGCAAGCACGTTAGCAGGTGGCTGTGCCTATGCAGCACGTTACTGCTCTATACGTGCACCTGTGCCACGTGTGTGTGTCTATCCATTTCTACGCGCTCATGTGGGGTGTTTGCAGCAGCTCCGCGGGCGCCTCCTCGCCGAGGCCGCCTTCCTCACCACGCTGTGGATCACAGCAGGTTTCCACCTCCTATCCCATGGCGAGGCTGCCGCAGCCTCCCGGCCGCCCGTGTTGTCCCTTCGGTGGAGCTGGAGATGGGCACGAGCAGCGTGGTACTTCCCCCGTAGACAGTGAAAACAGAAGGAGAGAATGAGTTAGGTGGAGGTGGAGGACGGGGGCCTTGGTGGTGGTTTGTGTCGCGGGAGATAAAACCTTTCTGCAGGAGTTTGTCCACCGGCCGCATGGGTGGCTGTGCTGCTGCTGTTGCGGGGGCTTGGTCGGAGGCTCTGCCCTTCTGGAACGGGTGCCATGTGGTTGGATTGCTGCCTCTGCCTGCCACCCACACGTCCTTCTTGTGGACCGTCTTGTGGAAGGGTGCAGGAGAGCAGCCCCTCGCTGCTCCCTGCGGCTTCGGGGTGCTGCTCGCATGGCCCTGCTCACAGGAGCACGGCACACCACGTGCTCTGGCAACGGATAGACCGGTCACTAACTGCGGAGGTGTAGTGAGTGATCATTGCAGATGCTTTACTTTCCAGGCTGCTCATGGGTTGCTCTGAGTTTCTACTGATAGGAATACCAGATTGGATGGAATATTATGTGTAAGGTATTTTCACGTACGTGAGTGCAGCCAAGTCAAGCCTGAGACGGCCAAGCAGGTTCTACTAATTCACTGATCAATGGGCGCTTTCAGTAGCTAGAGTCCTGGAGCCACCATCAGCACTTGGATTCAGACACAAAGAAATGTAGATGCTTTAGGCCTTTATATTGAAATATCCACTCAAGTTCTTAATCAGGATTTGGGTGTCCTATATGTTTCTCTGCCCTGTTTAATCACTTATAAAAACTAAAACTAATTTGAAACCTCCAAAAGCAGAACAAAGTGTATGGAATCATGCACATGTAGAAGCATCAAGGCATGTGGCAACTCTTTTTATGCCATCTTCTATCCAAGTGTTTCAGAATAATTTACAAGCATTAATTAATGTACGTATTACAACACTCCTTCTTAATCTGTAGTTTTTAATATTCTTCAATAGCAGAATATTTAAACGTGACCTGTTCTGCAGGTTATATTTTCACTTGGCTCAGCTTCTTCAGAATGCGCATCATGTTGCCACATGAGCAGGAAATTATAGCTAAAATTATTGCTATTGTATGTGCATGCATGTATGTGTGTATGTTTTCTGTTGCAAGGGTTTTTTTAAAATACATTTTTTTTTAACTTACATAGTGTAGATTACAATCCATTATCCATCTTTCAGCAATTATTTTTAATATAAAATAAATATTTGTTATCTATAAAATGCCATTTGTGTGTCTGTCACAGTACAAAGGTGTCTCTTTCTCAATTAGCTGATTATTCTAAAATAAGGGTGTTTTTTTTTGTTTGCAGGATCAGCTTGGCAGCGAAATTGCTTCTGCCCATCCAGTAAATATTACCAAAACAGAGATCTTTTTCATCAGGTTGGTCTTGGGAATTACATGTTTATCAGGTCCATAGGAGTCACCAGTTAAACTTACCTTTCTCACCTTCTTTTCATAGTTTTGAGGTCTAATAGGACCAGTGCAAATGGTATATGAATTAGAAAGACTCTTGGTACCTAGGATGAGGGAGCCCACTCGCAGTTTAAGACTAGCCTAGAAGCCTGATTTAGGAATTGGTCACTTTTCAGCCCTCCCAGCCTGTGCATGTAAATTTTGTGTCCTTTGCAGAGCCACCCAATGTAGCAGACCAAAGAAGTAAATAAGAGGAGGCTCAAATATGCTCATGTTTGGTATGTGGCCAATTTTTTTTTCTTGCATTGATGCAGCATCTTTACTGTTCCTTCGGTTATATCATTTATAAGTGCGGGCTAAGTAGAGCTGCATCTGTTTTACAGATTTACTGCTATTTAGTGTCAATTTTTAAAATAAAGTTAGATAGTTTGATGCAAGTATTGCCCAGTCCTTAGAAGAAATTGCCTATTATTTTAATGAGCATTTGTCATGCAAAATGCTTTAAGGGCTTTGCACTTTCTCTGGGCTGTTGCTTTTATTGCTAGTAAAAGGATGAGTTTTATCCCAAAGTAGAAATATTAAATGTCAACAGAGTTGCTGTCTGTTCTTTCCTTCTAAATACCTTTCTCCTGGGAACTTTGGTGTTATTTCCTTTTTCTACCTTTTGGCTCTTCGCTCCTGTTTTCCTTCTACCTTAAACTCTGGATCCTTTTTCCGTCTTCTAAGATCAATCTGTCTGTGCATTTTTAATGAATCGTTTACTGTGACATATGAGCATTGAAGTTACAGGATCAGGGACTTACACCTCTGTGGAGAGCTTTCTCTACGCAGGAGTGGCATAAGATGAAATAAATGTGAGCTTAGTTTCATTCTTTTGTTCATGTGGGATGGTACCTTGCCTAGAGGCAGCACAAATATAACTTCCCTTGTAGGGAATAATGAGAAGAATTAAACCCAGCACTGTCTCATTTTTCCTCTTTAGAGCACTGCTAGGAATAGAGGATTCCGTCTGTGCCTTTGCTATTTCCAGGCTTTCTACTGAATCAATATTGTTTACGTGGAAGCAGCATTATAGGTAAGAATCTGTTGCGGAAGATTCACTCACACTTTCTATACAACCATTTTTAAAACGTAGAGTGGGAAACAATGGCTTCATAATATCAACCATATTATCAACATATATGATTATTCAGTATTTTGCCTTTTGTACTGTGTTCCAAAACTCTTGATATATATTGCCATCATAGAGATAAAACAGCCTGAAAAACATGTGGAAAATGTAGAATTAATCAGAATTTAAAATGCATAAAATCAAAAGCTTGCCTCTGATTTCCATTTGGATTGTGTCACAGTATATAG